TGATGCTTTACTGTGCATTAGATTAGTCTAATGTGCAGTTAAAGTGTCTTCTGTAGATCCAGCATGTTCTAACTTTAACACTGCTTAAGTTTCCACACATTTAGTATGGTCTAAGTATAACATGTAAATGCAAGATAAAACATTTTATTGCTAAATAACATTATATACAGGGAGAAGTACTTAGCCATGTTAGTTTGAAGTCAGGTAGAAGGCAGTCATATGCTGGGTCATACTGTGCCAGGATGTGATTTGATGTAAAATAGCATATTTTTCAAAACACTTCATTTCCCCTCCCAGCAATTTCTCCTCTCGCTAGTTGAAGTGCCTGTGATACCCTAAACATTTTCTAAGAGATTAAATATATATTTCCCAGTCTATCAAGCAGTTCTGCTAAAGATGAACAGCAGAAACCAAGACTGCTGCCCATAGGTAGAACCAACAAACAGTGAACTGGAGTTATAGCTTTCTTACTACTTTTCCTTAATTATTTGATATAGCTGGCACCATCCTGATTGTGGGCCATGGCTCATCCCTGGATTCCTTCACCCGACCAGTAGTTGGGCTCCCACCCAGAGACAGCAGTGAATTTGCCCAGTTGGTTAGAAAGGTAAGAAATGTGTGGAGACAAGGTTGTTCTTGTTTTTCACAAAACACTATTTTCTCTGTATCTCTCAATAGTTTTAATAAGGAACATACTCAAGCAGTGCTAAATATTTACTTTAATTGCATACTAACCAGAGGTGCTCGTGGTACTCTACTCAACCAGAGTGCACATGGTTCCCTAATTAAAGAGGGAGCTTCACATTAGTGTGTTCTTGTTGCAAAAAATACTGTAAAAACAAAACAAAAGCATCTTGAGTTGTATTAACTGGAGTGGCACTTGCAAATCAAAGAAAGTGGTTAGGCTTTGAAACAGGTTACCTGGAGAAGTTGTGGACTCTCTATGCTTGGAAGCTTTCAAAAGCAGGTTAGCCAGACATTTGGCTGGGGTGGTTTAATCAGGGGTGATCCTGCTTTGAGCAGGAGGCTGAGCTTGATAACCCAGTGAGGTCTTTCCAGCCCTACTTTCCTATGATAATTGTAGCTCAGAAATGGTGGTCAGATGTCAGTTCTAGCAGAAAATTGTTCCCTGATCATGAGCCAAGGGATGTTTTCTGAGGCACACGTCATACCTAGCTCCTATTGAAAGTCAACAGGTTGCACACCTCACTGCCAGATAAGCCTTTGAAATACCCTCCTCCATGTGTTAGTTTCTCTGGAACTAAAATATGGATACAGGGTGCATTCAGTATCATTGTGTAAATTTACAGTGTAACTGTACTTTATAAAGTCCCATTTTTAAGGTGGTGTAAAGGGTTTTAAGTATATTGTGTCTGTGTGTCAGTTTTGCTCTGTTTATATATTAAATTGCTTTTGTACTATAAGCTGATCTTAGGATCCATTAACTAAACTTGATCTTTCTGTGATATCACTAGCAACATAAATTCAACAAGGCAAATCTCTCTTCCATTATATCTGTGTGGTTGCACTTGTTACACTGGTATTAGTGAGGAGAGAATTTGACCTACAGGGTCTTTATTACTGACATAAAATGGAAAAAAGATAGCTCCATCAGCAAGGCCTTGTCTGAGCTTGTGGGGTTGGAGACAAACTCCACTAGAGTACTGCAACTAGGAGTTCTTCATACTGTCAAAACAAACTACAGAATATCATAATGTGTCCTTAGGGTAAATTACACATTATAATTATGTCATGTTAAGAGCACTAAAAGCTTGAATGATCACACATTAAGGCTGTTTAACAAGCGCTAAGAGCCGTTTAGGCATCTTGAAGCTATGCCACTTCGTGCAAAGATTATCTCTGAGCTGTGCTACCTAGCTTGATTTAGTTTCTGGGTGTTCACCTGAGATAAATCCACCAATTATACTCTGCAGCACTGCTTCCAGGTGGACTAGCTATCATTCAGGACTCTATGGCACTGGACTGATAGCTGAGAAAAGCTGGGCAACAGGTGGGTAAGGATGGAATGAGTGGAAAAGGAGGCATGGGGAAGAGGTTTGGGGGCAGGATTGGTAGCAGAAAGTGGGGAGTGGGTGGGGAGCTGCTGGGCTGCTGCCCCTGTCCCCCAAGTCATTCTCCCTCCAACCCTCCCCTGCCATCCCAATTGCTACCTCTCCCTCACCCCGCATCAGCCCTTCCATCCCTGGATCACTGCCTTACTACCTCAGTCAGCCTGAGAGTGGCAGATATGCCAATTGGGGAGTGGGGAGAGGTGTCCCCTGCCTGCCTGCCTGATCCTGGAGTTCCTGCAGACCATGCTGCTCCTGCATGCCCGGATCCAGCCACTGCCAGGCCCTGTAGCAGAAGGAGGCAGCAGGGAGCAAGGAGCTGCCAGGCAGCTGCAGGGTCTAGTGGGGGCTAGATCCAGGTGTGCAGGGGAAGCACAGGATGCAGGGAGCCTGGCAGTAAGCAGAAAGGGGGCACCCTTCCCCAGCTGCTGCCAAATGCCATTGCTTTCCGGCTGATTGGGGTGGCAGGGCAGTGATCAGGGGATGGAGGG